GTCAGCAGCCACCCCCACCTCAGCCCGCCAAGCCCCAGCAAGTCATCCAGCACCATCCCTCCCCTCGGCACCACAAGTCGGACCCCTACTCGACTGGTAAGCGGAGTCTGGTGAAGTCTGGTGAGGGCAGGTCTGTGCTCCGCGCTGACGTGGGCACAGAGCCACACCCCAGGGACCTGGGGGGGGTGGGGGGGCTGCACCCAGGGATCGCTGCCTTGTTGGACATTTGTCTGCCTTGCTGACCAAGATGGCCAAGGGCAAGACCCCCCCCCCCCCAGCTCATGTACAACAGGTGCTGTGGAGCCTCACAGTGCACCGAAATCCTGCCAGGAAGGGAAGCATGACCCGGGAGGGGGTTCCTGGTGACCCCCCAGGGCTAGTGGCCAGGGGATGCAGCACGAGGATCCCCCCACCCCTGATATTTGTGACCAGGCAGTTTTTTCTTTTAGCACCTTGAGACCCCCCCCTCCAACAGTGTGAAGACCTTATTGGGGAGCACTGGGGTTAAAGGGGAGTGGCAGCCCCCAGTACACCCCAGAGCCAAGCCCAGGGGCAGCAAGGGCAGGGCCAGCCCCTCCGCCTTGGACGCATGTGAAGGCAGAACACCGCTGTGATTGAGCGGATCCTTGAGGGACCCAGTCACAGCACCCAGGCCTTAGGGGGGGAGGGTACCCGGTCACAGCACCCAGGCCTTGGCCGGGGAGGGTACCCAGTCAGCACCCAGGCCTTGGCCGGGGAGGGTACCCGGTCAGCACCCAGGCCTTGGCCGGGGAGGGTACCCGGTCAGCACCCAGGCCTTGGGGGGGGAGGGTACCCGGTCAGCACCCAGGCCTTGGGGGGGAGGGTACCCGGTCACAGCACCCAGGCCTTGGCCGGGGAGGGTACCCGGTCAGCACCCAGGCCTTGGCCGGGGAGGGTACCCGGTCACAGCACCCAGGCCTTGGGGGGGGAGGGTACCCGGTCAGCACCCAGGCCTTGGCCGGGGAGGGTACCCGGTCACAGCACCCAGGCCTTGGCTGGGGAGGGTACCCGGTCACAGCACCCAGGCCTTGGGGGGGGAGGGTACCCGGTCAGCACCCAGGCCTTGGGGGGGGAGGGTACCCGGTCAGCACCCAGGCCTTGGGGGGGGGTACCCGGTCACAGCACCCAGGCCTTAGCCGGGGAGGGTACCCGGTCACAGCACCCAGGCCTTGGCCGGGGAGGGTACCCGGTCACAGCACCCAGGCCTTGGCCAGGGAGGGTACCCGGTCACAGCACCCAGGCCTTGGGGGGGGAGGGTACCCGGTCACAGCACCCAGGCCTTGGCTGGGGGAGTGGGTACCAAGTTCTGGCCCCCAAATTGAGTAGCAAAGCGGGGCTGCGACTCTTCCCGCGCCCAGTGCGGACTGCCAGGTGCCGAGTGGGTTCCCACACGCCCTGCGCCAAGAACAGCTGCGCCTCCCCCCCCCCCGGGCCGGCCGCGCAGCTGTGCCGGCTCACCCCGATCATGCGAGCATCCCTGTGGAGGATGGGGCGGGGACACCAGGGCCAGGGCTGCCTGGAGCCGAAGGCAGAGTGTGCGAAGGATGGGGGGAGCCGGGCGCCGGGGGCTCACGCCTGTCATTCCAGTCACTCAGAAGGCTGAGGTCTGAGGATCTCGCTCGGTTCAAAGCCAGCCAGACAGGACAGTCCAAGAGACTCTGACCTCCACTCAGAAAACCAGAAGTGCTGTGGCTCAAGTGATAGAGTGCTTGCCTTGAGCTGAAGAGCTGAGGGACAGCACCCAGACCCAGAGTTCAAGCCCCAGGACCAACCAAAAAAAAAAAAAAAATGAAGGATGGGGGACTGAAACCCCACTGGCGGCTTCAGCCGAAGCCCCACTGACGCCCAGCAGCCCCAGAGCCCTGGGCCGGGGGTGTGGTTCTGTGAGCAGCCTCTTGCCAGCCCCGGGCCTCCTGCCCTCTGTCCTGCATCAGGGTTGGTCTCGGGTCGTGGGTGGGCTGTGGGCCATGGCCCCAGGCCCTGTGCTCCCCGTTCCCCACGGGCAGGGGCACAGCCCAGGCGTCTGCCCGGGCATGCAGCCCAAGGGAGGACCCCGACCCCGGCCACCCCGGGAGCCAGGCCTTCCTCGGAACCGTCTAGAGATGTAGGTGCCTGCCTCCGCCCCAAAGCATGAGACGAGGCGTGTGGATTTCAAAGCTGGCCAAGTGTAAGGTCACGCGGGGCCGTGGTGCCCGGCCTGCCCCTCCACTGGGGAGGAGAACCACCCTGGCCATGGCCAGCTCTCGTCCAGCCTATCCCTTCGTCGCTCACAGGTGGGGGTCGGAAGGCCCGGCCGTGACCAGACGCCCTCCTTGCCCCCTGCCCTAGGTCACCTCCGCGAAGCCCCCTCCCCGTTGATGATACATTCCCCCCAGATGCCGCCGTTCCAGAGCCTCACCCATCAGTCTCCCCCCCAGCAAAGCGTCCAGCCCAAGAAGCAGGTGAGGGGCGGGGCCGGGGAGGGGGCGGGGCAGCCGGAAGCCCGGCGCCTCACCAGCCCGGCTGCCCTGTGTCACAGGAGCTGCGCCCGCCCTCGGTGGTGCAGCCGCAGCCCCTGGTGGTGGTGAAGGAGGAGAAGACCCACTCGCCCATCATCCGCAACGAGCCCTTCAGCCCCACGCTGCGGCCAGAGCCCCCCAAGCACCCCGAGAACATCAAGGCTCCAGTCCACCTGCCCCAGCGTGAGTGCCCACGCCATGGGGGGTGGGGAGGCAGGGTGGAGCATGAGGCCCAAGGCCCTCAGAGTGCCGTGTGCCCAGGCCCATGGGCTCTTTGTCTTCCAGGGCCTGAGATGAAGCCTGTGGAGGTCGGGCGGCCTGTGATCCGTCCCCCTGAGCAGTCGGCACCGCCGCCCGGGGCGCCTGACAAGGACAAACCCAAGCAGGAGCCCAAGACTCCAGTGGCACCCAAAAAGGTACCAGCCTTTGCCACAAGGGTCCCCTGCCGTGCACCTCCCACGGGACAGGCCCCTCACCCCACCCCACCCCACCCCTGCCCGCCTCTGCTCCGCAGGACCTGAAGATCAAGAACATGGGCTCCTGGGCCAGCCTGGTCCAGAAACATCCGACTGCCCCGTCCTCCACCGCCAAGTCCTCCAGCGAGAGCTTCGAGCAGTTCCGCCGCGTGGCCCGCGAGAAGGAGGAGCGCGAGAAGGCGCTGAAGGCCCAGGCCGAGCACGCCGAGAAGGAGAAGGAGCGGCTTCGGCAGGAGCGCATGAGGTGCGGGGTCCGGGCAGGGCGTGGGCTGGGGAGGGGACCCCAGAAGGACCAGGCTGACTGGGGGTCCTGCGGTGCCCAGGAACCGAGAGGACGAGGAGGCGCTGGAGCAGGCGCGGCGCGTGCACGAGGAGGCGCGGCGGCGCCAGGAGCAGCAGCAGCAGCAGCGTCAGGAGCAGCAGCAGCAGCAGCAGCAGCAGGCTGCTGTGGCCGCGGCCGCCGCCCCCCAGGGCCAGAGCTCGCAGCCCCAGTCCATGCTGGATCAGCAGCGGGAGCTGGCCAGGAAGCGGGAGCAGGAGCGGCGGCGGCGGGAGGCGGTGAGCCAGGGGTCCCGGCACCCGCACCCAAGGTGGGAGGTGGACAGGCCCGCCCGGCCTTCGGGGGGGCCCCTGTGGCTCCCCGGGGAAGGGGCCAGCTCTCCCCTCACCGCCATCTTCTTCCTTCCCCCTCCCCCAGATGGAAGCTACGATTGACATGAATTTCCAGAGCGATCTCTTGTCCATATTTGAAGAGAACCTCTTCTGAGAGCCCTTGGTGACTGTGACTTTTCTGGGAAACGTGGACTCTCCATAGTGTTAGGGGCGCGGAGGAAGCGGGGCCTGGCCCCATGCATGCTGTGCCCGGGGCAGGCCTGGCGGGAGCGCAGGAGCGCGGAGCCCGCCTGCCTTACAGCCAGCCGGAGGACATGAGCCCCGCGCCGCGGGCGCCCGCGTGCCGGCCAGACCCACGCCCCGCGCGCCCCCATCCGGCACCGGGGGAGAGGCCCTTCTCTCCGCCAAATGTCTACACAGTATACACAGACATCGTCGCTGCCACCCTGACTGGTTTCCTGTCCGTGAGAACGTGGCGTCCGTGGCGCCCTGCCCGCCGGGAGTCCTGGCCCACCACGCAGCATGGCCGCCTGTCCCCCAGGAGGCTCGGCCGGGCCCCAGCGGGCTGCCGGGCGGGCCTGGCACCGGCCACCCCCTGCTGGCACTGACTTTGCCTTGAACAGACGCCCTCCCCTCCCCCCACAAGCCTTTAATCGAGAGCCGCTCTCTGTAAGTGTTCGCTTGTGCAAAAGGGAATCGTGCCGTGGAGGTGTGTGTGTGTCCGTGGCCGCACGTGCGGGCCTCGCTCACCAACCAAAGTCAGTTCTTCCCACCTGTGTTTCTGGGTTTTTTGTTTTTTTGGGTTTTTTTGTTTGTTTGTTTGTTTTTGGTTTCTGGTTCTTTTGTTTTTTTTTCTATATATATTTTTGTTGTTGCTGAAATCTATTTTATTTTTAATTATCTCCTCTCCAGACACGATGGCACCGCTTCCCTCGGAAATTGTGTGCTGGTGTCCGTGGGCAGCGGCCCGCCCCGCCGCGCCACGGCCGTGTGTGACCGTGGCTGTACTGTGTAGTGAACATAGCTGGCATATCTTTGTTTGAAGTTTGTTGGTGACTCCACCAAACTGGTGTAAAAAAAAGAAAAAAAAAAGAAAAAAAAGAAAACACAAAAAAAGCAAAACATATACAAAAAAACCCTCCTGCCTATATTTTATTCAGTTTCAAACTTTTATTAGTCTATTTTTAATTAATTATAAAATCAGAAAGCTGCGATCTCTCGTCCTCCCTCCCCCCCATTTGTTGGCTTCGTTTTTAATGTCCAATCTTTTTTTACCAAGAAAGGAAGGAAAGGGGTCTGGGGACGAGGCGGGGCTGGGGAGACCACCGCGGGAGGCAGAGCCCCCCCCCGCCCGGCGCCCCGGGTCTGACAGGCCAGCCATTCTTTCCCTACCTTTTTTTTTTTCTTTTTTGTTTTTAATTTTATAATCAAAGCCCTTGGTGAGGTAGTGCGTGCCATGAGAACCCGCTCTACACCGCGACGCTGGTGCCTCGCTCGGTGTCGGCCAAACTCGGGAGTCACTGACTGGTTTGACTTGGATACGGTGAACATGCGTCTGTACTGATCATGGAATAAACACGTCTCTCTTTTTTAATTGCTGGCGTCTCCCTGACATTTCTTTGTGAACCAACTGTTGCCTAGGCCAGGCCCCAGGGCCCCGGGGTGGCCCCTCCCCACCCCCCGCCTTCCGAGAACTTCCCACAGCCACCATAGAACCCCAAAACCACTCTCCATGGCCCGCCCTGCCTTTTCCTGCACAGGAGCCCTTCCGGCACACAGCTGTGGGGACAGCACATGGCGCCCGCTCTTCCTGTGGGTCAGCCCTGCGCTCCCCCGGCCTCACCCTCCCACATCCTCCGCCACGCCGCTGCCCCATCCCGCCTTGCACCTCAGCTCAGGGTTCGTCTAACCAGGCACACTTAGGTGTGTACACATTCCCCTCCCACAGGATCCTCCCCTGCCCGCACCTGTCCATAAAGGAACCCACGGGGACAGACGCGAGTATGTAGCATGCAGAGACATGCATTGAACTTTCTGGAACTGTGTATTAGCCCACATCTCCCTTTTTCGGGAGGCAGCGGGGCCACAAGTATCTCAGCCAGGGGAGAATGAAGGCACCCGGCAGCCCACCGTGCGTACTTCACCTCCGCTGAGTTAGGACATCCTCGTGCTTTCTTCTTTCTCATCCCACCTTCCTGGTTTTGCTCCTGTTGTTGAAAGACGTCACTGAGACACGGTTTTGTCTGAGCCTTCCTGCTCAAGGCTTAGCATTCTGCTATAGCCTCTCCACACCTGCCTTGCTGGGGTTTCCTCAGACAGGGCTGTAATTAGAACTGGGATCGATTTCATTTCTCCGGCCATGTTCAAGTTGCTCCCACAGTACTAGAAACCTTAGTCCTATATGAGAGAAGCTTGCTGTACTGTACGCACAGGTTGCTTGGCTAATAATTTTATCAGTGAATCTGAGACTTGTATTTCAACACTTTAGACATTTGTAGAAGGAAATTCAGACTTTTCACTTATATACTAAAGTTTTTTTTTTTTTTTGGTGCGGTTCTCGTTGCAAAAATAAACATTTGTACTGAATTATACAAGTTCCTCTCCTGTGGCGACTTGCTGTGTTTGAGAAGGTGGAGTTGAGGGAGTCGGGAACAGGGTACACATGTGCTGGAAAGAGTGATTCTCACACACCCACCGTCCATGCAGACAGACCGGAGGACTGAGGAGAGACCCTGGCAACATCAGATTGTGAATGAACTGAGTTACAGGGTGTATAACAAAACCTAACCTGTGTGCAGTGCACTCCTGTAATGCCAGCCAGCACTTGGGAGGCAGAGGCAGGAGGGGGGCAGGTTTCAGGCGAGCATGGAGTACATACCAAGACACTGTCTCAGGAACAGATAGGGGATGGTGGCATCTCACACCTGTAATACTAGTACTCAGCAGACTGACATCTGAGGCTTGTGGTCCAAGTCCAGGCTGGGCAGAAATGCCTGGTGAGACTGTAATCACCATCAAAAGCTGCAAGTGGAACTGTGTGGCTCAATTAGAATGCCAGGAAAAGTGTGAGGCCTGGGTTCAAGCCCCCGTACTGGCACAATAGAAAACATTATAAATTATCCATGCCTCCACCCCTAAAAAGGGCTTAATCTCTACTTGTTTTTTTCTTTTGGTCAGTCATAAGGCTTGAACTCTGAGCCTGGGCGCTGTCCCTCAGCTCTTCAGCTCAAGGCTAGCGCTCTACCACTTGAGCCACAGCGCCACTTCTGGTTTTCTGGTGGTTCATTGGAGATAAGAGCCTGACAGACTTTCCTACACGGGCTGGCTTTGAATTGTGATCCTCAGCCTCCTGAGTAGCTAGGATTAGGCATGAGCCTCCGGCACCTGGCTTCAATCTCCACTCTTATGTCCAATTAAGCACAAAAGAGAGAGAGAAATGAAGCTGTGGCTTAAGTGATAGAACACTAGCCTCCAGCAAAAAAAGTATAAGGACAGTGCCAAGCCTCAGGACCTGCACACACGCACGCGCGCACGCATGCGCACACACACACACTGGGTGAATCTAGGAAGAGAGAACAAAAGTACAAAATAACAGTGTAAACTGACTCAAATACATTGTTTACCCGTGGCAGAATGGCTTTAATAAACCATGGGCTTAATTAATTATGGTCTCTGCAACAGGATAATGTTTACTAGCCTGTTGAGTAAGTCTTGTGTAAGAGCGGGGAGATGATAACAGATGAGTATTTTAAGTTAGAGACAACCAATAGTGACCCAACCCGGAGTCAGCCTCGGAGCAGCGATGTAAGCAGTTCAACAGGTAATGCCCCAAGTTGGTAAATGTTAAACAGTTGCACAGTTGAGCCCAAACTGGTGCCTCGCGCCTATAATCCTGACTACTCAGGAAGCCGAGCTTAGAGGATCGAGGTTCAAAGCCAGGCCAGCAAATCCCAGAGACTTATCTCTGATTCCAGCAACAATCTGGTTCAGTAGAGCAGTAGAGGGCCAGCCATAGCAGAGAGAGCTGAGTGGGAAAGGAGGCCCTAAATTCAAGCAACAGTTAGAAAAGGAAAGGCTGGCACCGGTGGCTCGCGCCTGTAATCCTAAACTATCCAGGAGGCTGAGTTCTAAGGATCACGGTTCGAAGCCAGCCTGGGCAGGAAAGTCCGGGAGACTCTAACCTCCAATAAACCTAAGAGAGAGAAGGGCAGGAGGGAGGGAGGGAGGGACAGGCAGAGCCGGAGCCGGAGCCGGAGCGAGCACTTCGGGCAGAGCTAGCTGGGGGTGCCGCGCGGCGCCCCGACGGCGCAGGGCCGGCGCACGCGCGGCTCGGGATGGATGACCTCGGGGTCGTGGGCCCGACGCCAGGCTGCTTTCACATCGCCCTAATGACAGGTGTCTCCAAAATGGTCTGCAGGCAGCATTGCGAAACAGGAAGAGGAGCGCTCCTGGCAGGGCCCGGGCTCTTGACTCGGTGCCCCGTCATGCCCGGCTCTGCCCTGCTGCCTCTTCCCGGCCGCAGCCCCGTGACTCAGTCCCGTCCGTCCTGCTCCAGATCCCCAGTCCGGCCTCCCGCCCCGTGGGCGGCGGCCACCTGCCCATCACTTCCGGACCGGACCAGTCGCTGGGACATCAGTATCCGCCGCTGTCCAATCACATCCCAGGAGGGGCGGGCTGACGGGCCCAGCGAGCCAATGGGAGGACTGCGCGGGGCTGAGGGCGGGGTGAGCCTTCCCTTGAAACCAGGACTGAGGTAAAGGCGCTCGCTGCTGGGTCTCAGGAAACCAGCCGGGAAGGGAGGGTCGAGGGTGGGCTGGCACTCCCAAACCAAGCCGGATTGCTGCGTCTGAGCGCGCCTTCCTCCAAACTCCTGGCCTTAGCTTCCGGGAACGCCACATTAGGACATGGCACCGCCTCCCTCATCTCATTGGTCGACCTCCAGGCCCACGCCCCAATGCAAGACCCCCCTCACACACACCCTAGGCTCCGCCCACTGGTCTGTCCACCCGAGTAAGCCACGCCCACAACTCCTACAAAGCTTCCAAGCTAAGTGGGCGTCACTTTACATACATGCACGCAGGCCACACCCACCCTGCATATGCCCCGCCTCCCATCCAAAGCCCCACCCACTTCTCCCAGACGAGGCTCCGCCCTTTCTCCGGTTTACCTGGGTGGGCCACGCCCTAAGGCCGAGCGGCGCCCTACCAGCTCGCGGACCACACCCACCCCGCAGTGCCACGCCCCCGTCCCCGGCTCCGCCCACTTCCCTGTCCGCTCCCTGCCTGAACTGTCTGCCTTCTTGTTTCCCAAATATTAATTGAGATTACGTGGCTACATGAATTTCACAACGCTGCGGCATATACTTAGCTGAAGTCACAAACAACCGAGTCTTCACAATGACAGTCGGCTTCGTCTTACTCTACACTGCCTTTCATGAATCGGGGTCGCGAACATCTCTTTCCTGTTCTTAGTGCCAGCGGTTCCCGCTCTCATTCCCGCCCGCCCATCACCGCCCTTCATTCAGTTCCTTGGCTCGTTTTCTTCGACGTCCAGGGCAGCTGAGGGTTCCCCTCTGCTTTCCACCCGCTTTCCACGGATGCCGTCTCTGCTCCACCTTCCCTCGTGGGCACGGGTGTACACCGTCTATGAGTAAAGACACAGTCATCTAAAATGATGCGGCCAACTAGGAAAGAGGCGTTTCCTGATCTGTGGGCTTCTTTTCAGTGTGCACATTGTTTTTGTTTTGGGGTCGTGGGGCTTGAACTCTGGGCCTGGGCGCTGTCCCTCAGCTCTTCAGCTCAAGGCGAGTGCTCTACCACTTGAGCCACAGCACCACTTCCGGTTTTCTGGTGGTTCATTGGAGATCAGAGTCTCACGGACTTTCCTGCCCGGGCTGGCTTTGAACCGCGATCCTCAGATCTCAGCCTCCTGAGTAGCTGGGATGACAGGTGTGAGCCTCGGGCGCCCGGCTGTGCACATTGTTTTATAGACCAACGAAGAGGTGCTTGGGTATTGCAGTTTGGTGCTTCTGTTTTTCGTCGGTCTTGGGGCTTGAATTCAGGACCTGAACGCTGCCCCAAGACTGGTGCTCTACCACTTTGGGCCACAGCTCAACTTCCAGCTTTATTCATGGGACCTAAGAGTCTCCCGGACTGTTCCTGCCGGGGGTTGGCTTTGAACCGCGATCCTCAGATCTCAGCCTTCCCGAGTAGCTGGGATGGCATCAGGCGCCGGGCAACGTCTTCCTCGGGAGACACCTGCGGGACAGCCGCCTCCCTTCGGGGCTCGGGTGCCGGCCCCGCCCCGCGGCCCCGCCCTCCGGGCCACGCCCTCC